TTTAATCTTTCTCTTTAACCTCAGACCTATACCTGAAAGTACTCAATGAAATATAAACTTTCTAAACTTCTTTCTAAAGGGTTAAATCTTCTGCTTCAAATAACTTGAGCTGCCCAATCTTTACTTTTCAGCTTCAACAGGTTTCAAAAGCATTTGTACGGCCTTGTGGGTGAGGAATTTTCCACCCTACAACTTCTTTTCCACAAACAAAATGTTGCTAGACTTTCAGCACCTAGTCGCTATTTTCATGGTAGGTGTTCAGTTGAACCACATTCCTTAGTTCTACTAGTTCAGGCCATCACTGCTTGGACACACCATACCATGTATACTTAGACTACTCATCACCATTCCTTTCATATTTCATTGGTGAGGAGGAATTTCTACTCAGCTTCTTCCCCAGAAATATTGCATAGTGGAATGGATTTCCAAGAGGAAACTCCTTGATCACTGCAAACTTAACCTCTTCAAGTCAAGAGTCAACCATTATCTATCCTACAAATCCTAAGAGGAAGCATCTCTTGCTCTCTCCTTGTATGCTCTTACAACAATATAATTTAGTAACTCTTTAGTTTGAGTGGCTCTTGAACCTTGTATTGAGTGAACAATAGTAAAAAAAACAAAAAAAAAACATTCATTCTCATCAAAGATATCAATAAATCAACATGCAAAATTCAATACAAATTAAACACAGAATTTAGAATGTTTAATGCTGCACAACGTGACTATATGAAACATTGTGGGTAATGAATTATTCTCCACCATGCAAACTTTGTCTCACAGATGAAATGTTGCCAGCCTTTCATTACTATTGATTACTATTACTATGACAGATATTTGAACAAGTGACATTCCTTAGTACTACCAGCACGGACCAACCATGCCTTGTTCACAGTGGCAAACTATTCCCACTCCCTTCATGTTCCTTGGATAAAAACAAAGTTCCACTTCTTCCCGAGAATTGTTACTTTGTGGAACAAACTCCACAGAGAATATTTCATTGACAACTACAAACTTATTCTTTTTAAGTCCAGGGTCAACAGATGTCTATCTTACACATCCTCATAATATGCATTTCTTAATACCTCCTTCCTCCTCCTTCACAACAATTTCACTCAATAGCCCTCTACCATGAGTGGCCTTTGGGCCTTGTATTGGGTGAACTAACATCATAAAAAAATACCTTCAATTATTGATAAGAGACATTATCTGTTAAAACTTTTTTTTCTTAACCAGTTCATCCCAAGTAAGGTGGTAATGCCACTAAGATGCAAGGGGTTACAGAGAGTGAATGATAATGAGAAGACTTTAGTGAGAGAAAGGACAATAAAAGAACAGGTTTCAGGTTGACATGAAGATTGATGTTGCATTTAAATCTTTTAAGTTTGTAGGTGACAGGGGAAGCAAGAAACCAGGAGAGAATGCCATAGGTGAGAAGTGCGAGAAAAGAAATTGTTAGAATAGAACTTATGATTACATCTAGCTAATTCAACAGTAAATCAATGAGACCAAGTTGCCAATTTAGTTGTATGCTTAAATTCATGCAGTCAATGTACCAAGGATTAGAACAATTGCTGTGAAAATACTTACAGAAAAGACACTGGGAATCTTGGTCTTGTAAGTCTAATGTCAACCAATATCTATCCTACTAGTCCTCATAATACTTTCTTACTTCCCCACCTCTTTTACAATCACACTCAGTAGCCCTCTAACTTAGGCCTTGTATTGGGTGAACTATCAGTAAATTAAAATAAAGATTTACAATAGAATAAAAATAAACTCGACCTGCCTCATAACTAAAGTACTTGCTTATTTCCCAGTGTGGACTGTTGTGCTCTTTTAAAGTGATCACATATTTCTGTGTATATATATATACCTACATATCAAATGAAGCCTTGGATTATACTATTTGATATGCTTTCTCAGAAAAATCTAACAATTCTACCTGGATTTTCTTTACATGCTCTTGTGACAAACCCCATTTTGTGTCTTATATACTAATACATACATATTTGTTGCTGCATTCACCCAGGATCAGTTGTACAAGCTCTATCAAAAGAACCTACTGGATCTTAAAGGACATGAAAATTCATAGTAGGTAATTTAGTAGGAATTTCGATTCATAAGTGGTCCCCAGCTGCACACTTTAGGATGGTGTAATCCGAGCAGTTCTAGGCTTATTTGAATTCAGTTTTTTCTCCTAGACTGGTTTCCAACCAAGGCTAAATGGTCCAATCTTTCCTGCTATTTACCCTTAGCTGGGAGGAAGATGGATATATATACCTTTCCCAAGGTTATTAGCACATAAGTGAATGTAATGGACTATACTGGAATTTGAACTCGGCTATCCGATTCCTCAATCCAAACCACCATCCATTACACCACTGTGCCTCCACTCTTATATGCTAAGGGAAGTAAATGATTATTTTTGTAAAGTTTTAAACCCATCACCTCATCATTTTTTTTCTTTTGAAAAGTGGGTGATTTCAAAATTCCAAAGTGTGTGTTATGGGCCGGTTCCTTGTACCACGATGATAGTCCAAGGTAGAACCAATAAAGAAGAACGTGAACACAGGTATGGAATAACACAGATATATTACAAACAGGAATATATACAGAGAAGTAGAAGTGTTAGTATGAACAATCAGGTTTAGTAGAGATAACAATGTAGTCTCGACCAGTATCACTATTCCAATGTCTTGCAGTAATTGTCTGACTGCCTCTGACTCGACTCTTGACTCGACTTGAAACTACTGACTCCCTGCCTACTCCTGATGCGCAGTATTTATTAAGTATGGAATAGTCCATTATTATTATTATGGGTAAGATCCCATAACAGTGTGCAGACTCTCTCCACATCATGACTCTCCTTACTTGGAAGATTAGCACAACACAATCTTATTATTTGGCTATATAGCATATAAACTAACCTTGATAAATATTAAAAGAAAAATAAATTTAAATATATTAAAAAAAAATCAATTCTGACAAGTGATTATTTGACACAATGTGTTCCTGCTCAATTGGTTTGAGATATGTGTAATCAAGTGGGCTGTAAATGATTTTTTTGTGGGCCTGGTTTTATGACAACCAAAAGTAAAATCACAATATCAAAGTTTCAAAACAACTGCTCACTGTTGACAAGTAAGGAAAAAAGGAAATAAAGAGATAAATAAAAACTTTCAGGATCAAGTGACACTCAGTTGGAAGGTAGGGAATTTTAGTTTAAGCTTATATAGTCAGGCCATATTCAAGAATGGCAAGTCAGAAGCTATCTGTTGGCAGGTGAAGAGCCATTTGTCATGATGTAGAAATAGGCAAAAGTGTCGTAGGAGATAGTCTGCAGTCAGAAGCCACTTGTGAGTTGTCCATTAAAGTATAGAGAGTTGCAGTTGGACTGGCAGAGCAACAGTTCTTGCTAACCAAAAGGAAGATCTGGTCTATTAGTCTATCATGAGGGAAGACAGAAGTAGCAGTGAAGATGTTCCAAGTGTCAGTTAACCTACCTCACAGACTGTACCATGATTAAAATTCAGTATATCGAAAAAAAAAAAAAAAAAAGATTTGTGTTTCCTTTTCTCTCAATGGCTATATTTCACTTTCTGTTTCCTTGTTGAATGTTTTTGTTCACATCAATGCAAACAGGAATTGAAATGCCTTGGGTGGGGGTGAAGCTGTCTAATTAATGAAAGACTTGAAGGACTTGGCTGTATGTTTACAATTATCTCACTGTACTTTTCTTCATTCAAGATTGAAATCCAGTTGTAAATTTCTGATGTTGAGAGAGAAAGTTTCTGGCAGGAACTAGACATTCTAAGCTGACTATCTTCAAATAACTTTTTCTTGTCTTTGATAAGAGTATTCTCATATTACAAATGGAATCATTTTTAGAATCTGTTATTTTTAATTTTTTGTGTGCCTATATTTTACAGACAAGGTTTTTATGATTACCATTATTATTTTTTCATTAATATGTATATAGCTACAACAATAAGCAAATGGCCACATGATTAAAAAGCATTTATTTTACACAACAAATATTATCCTTTGTCAACGTACTTAATACAATGATGTATATTAATGAAATAGATTAGGCACCATAGGGTCAAAATTTCAGGTAGAAATTCAGCTATTAACTCATGACTTAATACACTTATAATTTTATATGAAATTAGTTTTTTGATTGTTTTTTTTTTTTTAAGGCTAATCAAGCTTTTGTAGTCCTTATACTATTTTAAAAGCCAGAATATATTTTTAGATTGTAAGAGTTTTTTTTTTTTTTTTTTTTTGAGAGAATAATAATTTTAGTAAAACAAGGCTTACTAATTAACCCATAGCTGGGGGAGATGTTATGGTAAAACACACCTATTCTATAGTTAATAGACTCTCCCACCTAATATAAGTAGGAGTAGTAAGATAAACGAGGGTCAGTCAATGTCAGACGACTGTAGTCGACAGTTAGTCAAATACGAAAGTAGTCAACGACCACAAGATTACTCTGCATAATACCTATTATATCAAGTTCCTAACATTTTGTACATTGAACTATTTTAGGACCGATTTAGTACAAATGCAAGCCTCCACTGCGAAATAACTCCACAAGAGGAGAAGAGTATTTGCACATACGTGAATGTAACTGATATAATGGAATATGCATACACCTATATTCACCCTCACTGGAATACGATTGGCTGGTGTCCGTTGTAAATACCGACGGACATGTAGGAGAGTCAAAAAGCCTTAGTCTGAAAGCTAAGTCTATAATGATGCCCATTGGACTACACCATTGATCTACACTTCTTACCTGTAACTACGATGCATACCAGTCAATTACTGCTACCATATTCTACTTGGTTATAGTAGCCAAAACCACTTAGCTACTTCGTTCAAATATATCCCTTTCTGGGACATATCAGCAATAAAACCAACTGGAATTTGGAACTTGGCTCTCTCCAATTTAACAATTCCAAGCCATTATCCATTACACTACCTGCACATCCAAGCTGGTATTCCCAAGCGATCACCCATCTAGATACTGACCAGACTCAACGTTACTTAACTTTGGTGATCATATGGGAACCAGTGTTTCAGCATGGTAAGGCTGTAGTTATTTTTGACATAATCATTTACCAAGTGTTTCACCTGAGACCTTAAATTAAATAAAGCATTTTTTAAAATCATTTAAACCTAAGCAAGGTGACAATGCCACTAAGATGTAAAGGGTTACTTAGAGTGAGAAAACATTATTGAAGAGAGATTACTATGAAAGGAAGAACAGCATTCAAGGAGAGAGATGACAATGAGATTGCATTTAAATTTTTGAAGACCATAATTGACAGGAATTCAAGAAGCCAGAAGAAAGTTCCACAAATGAGAAGTGCAGGAGAAATTGTTAGCATAGAACATATGGTTAAATTGTAACAGAGAATCAGATCAGTTCGATAAGACTCCAAGTTGGTGTATCTGGTGCTGTAAGGACCAAGAGTTGTGTCCCCTTCCATGATGGGCTGTTGAGAGAAGACCTTCTATTTAGAGTAGAACTGGTGCAGACTATTTGCATATGAATAATACTGGGCAGGTATTAGCCAATAGTCAGTGTGGGTCTGTGACTATGAGAAAAATATTACAACACCAGTGTTTCTCTTAGTCAAGAGAGGTGCTCTTGATGTGCGAAAACCAGATAAACAAACATAAGCTATTTCGGCGATTGACGGGTGATGTCAGACTCCAAATTTGATCTAAAGTTGATTCCTGAGTTTGAGGGATCAGCATCCGGTCTACCAGTGGTTGAATGGATAGAGAAGCTGGCACTTGCTTGCAGGCTATGTGGTGTGAAGTCTTTGGAGCGTGTGATTCCTATGCAACTTACAGGTGGAGCATATACAGTTTACCAATAACTGGATGACAAAGCAAAATCCGACATTGACCAGATAAAGACTGCCTTAGTTACAGCCTTTGCTACAGATTCGTTTATGGCATACAAACCACTTATTGAGTGGCGCCTGCAGTACGATGAATCTGTGGCTGTATACCTGGCTGAATTGAAGAAACTCGTGTTCTTGATGGGCGGGATGAGTGACCATATACTGGCTTGCACATTTGTGCACAGGTTGCCAGGCAATGTAAAGCAGGTATCTTCATGCATTGTCTAGGATGGACATGCTGTCTATTAACCAGTTGCTTGCCTGAGCCTGGGTGATTAAGAGAGGCAAGGAGATAGAGGAATTTGTGGTGGCAGCAGTGGCCCATGCAAAATACAGACATTCATGTCATAAAGTGCTTTAGATGCAATGGTATTAATCACATGGTGAAAGATTGTCAGAGCTGACAACATGACAGAATGAGAGCAATGATAATGCAATACCATAGGCTATTTCTGTTGCCATATCATAGGCCATATGTCTTGAAACTGTCTGAGAAAACATGAGAAGAGATATGTCAATCCCAGTATCCACTCCAGCCTGGCATCGAGGTCCAGGTTAATGGCAGAACCGTCACCACGCTGGTCGATACTGGTTATTCACTGTCTATAGTCAACAGAGAGATATTCCAGTCATGGATAAAAAAGGCCTGTATGCATAACAGCGATAGACAAGGGAGACCAGAGCCTGTTGTGGGATCGGAGTTGTTGCTTTCTGGTTGCAAGGTGGAAATCCTGTCAAGATTGACATACTGGTGGCACGAGAAAAGCCACTTTGTTTCAACCTTCTGATCAGGATGAATGTGATCAAAAAAACTAAGGGGAGTAGGAATCACTCCTTTGGGTGCAGTGGAGTTTTTCAACAAAAAACCATCCCTGTGTGAAGCTCTCCCCATATAGGAACCAGACTTTATCGTCAGCTCACTGGGATCATTAGTCCACAATCTGTCATGATTGATGGCATACCACATCATGTTAAAGACCTGACCTGCATGGGACCAATGCTCTACCACAAGCGACACCAATGATTCATCCACAAGCAATGGGGTGTTGGAAATAGATTCCCAGATTTTCAATGCACCTCCTGTAATGGTGGAGAAGGATAGCAACAACACTAAGTATAAGTACCTCCCCCACATAGTGACAACAATGTGGATGAAGTACCTCCGCTGTGAAGGAGTACCAGAAGGAAACTTCTGCCTACTGCATGTTGGTGCTGAGATCAGGAGATCGGGGGGAGGGAGAGTGTAAGAGAGAATCAGGTTACACTGATAAAAGACTTCGAGTTGGTTGTATGTGTTGCTGTAAACACCAGAAGTTGCATCCCCTTCCACAATGGGCTGTTGAGAGAAGACCATTTGCATATGAATGATACTGGGCAGATATTAGCCAATAGTCAGCATGGGTCTGGGACTGGGGGAGAGAGAGACACTCTTGATGTTGGAAAACCAGATCAGCCGAACACATAAATCTATTAAATTCAACTGCGGCAACTAAGGAACCACATATGAACAATTTTAGCCACTTTTCATGCATCTATGTATTTATTCTGAATTTTGACCAATACACGTTGAAATTTTAATCCTTGCTTGTTCCTTTCCTTTGCAAACAAACGCTTGTTATAACACCTAAGCTCATTGTTAAAATCCATTTGCTTTATTTTGCTAGCATTTAGCAACCATGATATGGCTAAGAAATAAAAACTTTTACTAGCTATAGAATCTACCTTATAATGTATGTAGGAATGCTCTCTGAGTCATGAGGCTGTTTTCAGATTTTCTTGAAAAGCAACATTTTTATATGTTCACTCATCAGTTGTAATGTTAAGTGTTTTGTTGTCGTTTAGCAGTTGTTATTCAGAATGTCTTTCATTGGTGACTTTTGATCTAATTTTTTTGTTCACTGCTATTTTGTTGCTTAAAGAGCAGACCATTATCAATCACAATGATGTGTTCTCTTTATATATATATATATATATATATATATTCAGACCAAAAATTAAAGAAAGAAAATCAAAAAGAAGAAACATTAAAAAAGCTTTCTTTCCTTTGTTTTTCTTCTTGTACTACATTCAACTTAGACGAAATGTCATGTTAATCGCTTTTAATCAGTTTGCTTTTATGATAACTTATGATAAATAGGAGAGCTGATTGTGGTGTTGACCTTGTAATCCAGGTGATATAAAATTGATCTTTCAAGTTGAATAAAATTTGGTCTGTGGAGTGGAGATTCCCTAAGCTTAGCTTGGCCAGGCACAAAGCCACTAAAATCATGAGGCTAGCTTACTAATTATCCAAATAACAGGTAATTCTGGCACAAGGTCATACAGTTGGAGATTCCCAAATGAAGCAGTGTCTTATAGCAGATGTTCCAGATATTTAGATACAGCCTAGCACAAGGCCACACAGTAAAAGAGTCCCAAGCAAGGATTCTCGCTAGCAATGACAGGCAAGACTAGCTTGCTAATCAGTGTTTTGTAGCAGATGCCTATGTCTGGCACAAGGATATGCAGTAGGAGTGCCCTAGTGAGTGAACACATAAGCAATAACAAGTATGACTAGCTTGTTAATCCTGGTCTTATAGCAGATGCCTATAGATATTAACATTAAGTTTGGCACAAGACAATCCAATAGGAGGTTCCTAGCAACGACTGGACTCCCATAAGACTAGCTTTTTAATTATTGTTTTACAGCAGATGCCTATAGATATTTAATCGTAGTCTGATACAAGACCATAGAGTTAGTGAGGCTCCTGCAAGGATCATATCTCCCCAGAAGTGCCAGTAGGTCTGTTTTGCTAATTATTGCTCTAAAATAGTTTGCTTGCTCCTTGATAGGGCAACAATATTTGAACCTCCAGTGGCAATCAAACTCAGTACATATATAAGAAAATTTTGGCACAAGTCCACACAGTAAGGAAGTCTATGGCAAGGAGGTAATAACAAGTAAAACAAGCTTGCTAATCATTATCTTATAGCAGATGCCTATAGATATTTAAGCTCAAACTGATACAAGTTCACACAATAGGGGGGCAATTGCCAAGGATTAAACTCACTAGCAATGACAAGTAAAACTAGCTTGCTAATGATTGTCTTATAGCAAAAACCTATAGATATTTAACCAAAGTCTGACATAAGGCTAGAGTTCCATGTGCCCCTAGCAATATGAGAAAAAAATATTATGGAAAGAGAACAATAAAAGAACAGGAATTAAGAAGACAGAAGATATCTATTGACATTGCATTTAAATTTTTGAAGATCAAAGTTGACTGGGAAGCCAGAAGAGTGCCACAAGTAATAAATGCAATAGAAGAAACTGTTAGCATAGAACTTATGGTTACATCTAAACATTTCAACTATAAAATGATGAGACCTTGCTACCAATCTAGTACTGTGCTTGCTAGGTACCATAGAGGAAAAGTCATCAGAACAATTACCATGAAATTATTTATAGAAAAGGCAGAGGGAAACCACATTATGGTGATGGGTATGTGACTGAAGCCTAGATGCCAGGTCAGGACCAATGACATTGCAGATTCTTCTTTGGAATTTATCAAGAATCTCTAAATATATAGCAGGAGCACCAGACCCAGATGTGGCAGCAATATTCAAAGCAAGGATGAATGGTAGACTTATAAATAAGATAGATTCTGTCGAGAAAAAATTATATATATATATATATATATATATATATATATATATATATATATATATATATATATATATATATATATATATATAAGAGAGAGAGTACACTGGAATCAATACTCCATGGTGACTGTCAGTTTCATGCCTTAATGCGGTATTCAGCCTGATCATCAGTCACCATTCAGTGCTGATTCCTGTGTTCATACTGTTTGTATTTATAAACACATATTAAAACTTGCTATATTTATCATGAAAGAACATTCAATATCAGAGACAGACTATCCTCACTAACTGTATACCTGATTGTCATATTATGGAAATATGATCATCTATCAATGAAAAATGATAAAATCACAAATTTTGAAGTATACCATCATTATATAGCTGCCATGTAGTTTGGCTGATTCAATAGCATATACTCCTCTATGACCAACTGGTTTTATTAGATTCAGTTGTAAACAGCCAGATCTGATTAGTTTGGATTGGGCTGATTCAATAGTGTATACTCCTCTATGGCCAATTGGTATCATTAAATTTGGTTATAAATTGACATATATAGTTGGCCAACCAAATCTGATTAGTCAAGCTCGAGCTGATTCAATAGCGTATATTACTCTATGGTTAATTAGATTCAGTTGTAAATTGACACCTATGATTGGACAGACAAATTTGGTTAATCAAATTTATTCTGATTCAATAGCATATACTCCTCAATGGTCAATTGGTATTATTAGATCTGGTTGTAAATTGGCACATGTGGTTGGCCAGTTAGATCTAATTGCTCTATCTGGAATGGGTTATGATGTCTTAATTAAATAATTCTGTTTTGAGTGTAGCTTACTGTATTTGTTTTTTTAGGTTACTCACTACTTAAGAAAAAGTAGCAAATGTTATCTTTGCTTTATCACCAAGATAATATGAATAGCAGATAGAAATAAAAACACAGGTTCATTACTAAGACTTACACCCACTCATCACCATACATATATATGTGTGCGTGTTCACAGTATGTGCAAAGAACTATACATAAATCAGATGATATACATTTGATCCTATTTCTCTGTTTTATAATCTAAGGAAATCTCAAATTATTTTTATTTTTTGGTCTGCCTCATTTTGACAGCCAACTTTTTATTTTTTACCAGATGACTTTGAGGCACAAATAAAATATGAGGTTAGGTAAATAGCGATTGTAGATATTGTATTTAGGAGCATGTAAGACACCTACGGTTATATTTATAGTATCTGTCAAAAATGATTGGATTATTTATGTATGGATCACCACTCCTGCCTTTGATCTTAATATCTGTGTACTCTACCAAGAATCAAAGTGTTCCTCTCAGGAATTCTGATGAGGACCAGAGTATAGTTTTTGGGCACTTTGTAAAAAGTGTAACATAAAAATTATATCTGGATTTTATATATGTTGATACACTTTGCATTTCATATATATATATATATATATATATATAATATATTTATTTAGTTGGATTGATGCGAGTTTGTGACCCTGGGATTCATGCTATTTGCAATCGTCAGACAAACTGATATATATGCTTGCATATATTGGTGTTTTTATGGAAGTGGTTGGAAAAATTGTCATCTAGATGCCACTCATATTTACGCAAATATACACACACACACACACACACACTCATTGATATATGCAGAGTGTACGTGCATGTATGTGTGTTTATGTAAGTATGAATGGCGTCCTGATAACAATTTTTCCTCCCACTTCCATAAAAACACCGATATATGCAACCATGTATAAATCCAAAATTTAAAAATTTAATCAGTTTGTCTGATCGTAAATAGCATGAAACCAAGGATCACAAACTCACATTAATCCACCTAAATATATCAGCTTGCTCACTGATATTGAGCATTTTCCAATAAGTACCACACATATATAATATATAAATAATATATATAAAAAAATTGCATATATATATATATATATATATATATATATACACACACATTTCACACATATATGTGTGTGTGTGTGTGTGATAAAAAACAAAATTTTAAGGTATGCTATATTTATGGGTAAAAATGCTGAATATTGGGTATAGAGTATATGTAAATATGAAAATGGACACTGTGGTCAACACCAAGCAGTGACAATATGTTTCATGCTTGAGTACAATATTCAAGCCATATGAATAAAGACAAAAAAGAAAATGTTCCTTTACTGACATGTTTTGTCTTTTATCAAATTAAATGTAAGAATTTTATTTTACAACATGTATTTATAAAGAGAAGTAAAAAATATCGCTAGGTTTTCAAAATTTTTAAATTTAAGAATACTCATAAGTATTCTTCAAATTTTGAAAGCTTAATATTTTCATTTGTTTGTAAATACATGTTGCAAAATAAAATTCTTATTGTCTTTTTACAGATATATTTTATTTATATCTAAATAATTACACACACATATATATATGTGTGTGTGTGTGTGTGCTTGTGTGTTATGAAATTTAGGAACATATTAGATATATTTTAAAGATAAAAAAATAATGATGGGACAGTACAAATTCTCATGTGAAGATAATATTTTTTAAAAAACCTGGATGAGATGTGAAGACATGATATTTGAAAAATGATGAAAGTGACATATAACAAAAAGCAAAAATTCTTTGATAATGGCTTATTGAACAATTTATATTTAAATTGCAACTGAAACCAAAAAATGGCCCAAAATGTTGAAGAAAAAAAAACTAAACAGAAAACTCTTCACAAAAAATGTACATTCAAAACTAAATTTATATATAATTTCCCAAGAATTACTGGATTTATTTTTAATCTGATGTTTTTATTACTTCAAACCTTTTTTTTTAGTGACCTCTAATTCAAACATAAGTATGTTTGAAATATATGTCGCTAAATTGAATGCAATGTCAATCACCATCTGCTCTCTTCTTAATTCCTGTTCTTTCTCCTTAATAATCTTTTTCTCATATTCTTTCACACTCAGTAACCCCTTGCATCTTAGTGTCTTTATCACCTTGCTTGGAGTGAAATCATAAAAAAGAAAAATAGCAATAAAACCTGACGAAACAAGCTACCAGTAGTTTTAATAAGGATAGACATTATAAGTTGAAACTCACATTATATATTGTTCATATAAATACAGGTCATCGACTTATGACCTATGTTATTTATGACTGTTTGGCTCCATGACCACAACTATGAATTGGTATATCTGTCCATCTGTCTATGACTGCTTTGCATCTAGCAGCATGAGTGTTTCCCAGCTTGGAGTATGACAAGTTCTGTCCCAGCTCCCGGCAGTGCTAGTATTCCCTTATGTGTTACAAGCTCAGTGTTAGAGAAGCCTTGGTACAACACATTTCCCCCCTCTCCCTCAAGTCCATTTGTGTCTTTGAAATTTTTCTTCAGAATATCCCCAAGATGTCTACTATGAGGAAATTGACTTTGTCTATTCCTCAACCTGCAAAGAAGGAAATAGAGGCAAATGATCTCTACACAAAAATAATTGTGATTCATTATACTTTCCTCTTTCAGTACAAAAGAGGAAAGAAAGTGAATGTGATCACATGTAAGCTGAAGTTATCACACTCTACTGTGTTGACTATTTTGAAGGAGAGAGAAAGAATTTGTAAAACACTGAAAAGTTCTGCACCTATATGATTGACAGTTATAGCGAAGCAACAGATTGGATCCAAATGTAAAGAAACTGTGTAAAAATTATAAAAAAATACAATAATCCCTAAATAAAAATAGACACTACATTAGTAAATTAGTAAATTGGAGAGGGAAATTAACAGGAGATAATTGTTAACTGACATCCATTAAACATGGCATGTGGAACTAGAACAGTCTACCCCAGAGAGTGAAATAAAGGGTTCAGTTTGACATTCCAACCTGAAGAAGGCCGGAGCATACAACGAAACATGATAAATATGGCAACAAAGATGTGGAATAATGTAAATATTGTACATAACACCTCATCTCAGAAATATAGACAGATACCAAAAATAAATAGATTGCAAAATTAATTACAGGTTGATTCTTTCAATTGTAGCCAATCATGAATTTAAATCAACAATAGCCTGTAATATATCCTGAAAATCTGGTCAACATCAGTGGTTTAATACTAATTTTATAGCAAAAACACTAATTTGTATAATGAAGTCTGATATAATGTATGTGTGAAACATGCAGGTGCACCACCAATTTTCTGGCAACTGATGTTCTAGCATCTCTTTTAAATTGGACAAAATTCTGTGCAAACATTTGAATTTCACATGATTGCCAGATTAATTCAACAGGCAGCCACAGGTGGCATTATGTATGGCTTATAATCATTTAATCATTTATACAATCAATGATGCTGTAGAGATACAGGTGAGATGCATAATCTGAGGGTCAGGGTTCTATTATTGATTTGTTATTATGTGACTTCCATCGGTCTGGAAAAATGATAATTCAGCATGGTTCTGGAAAGAAGAGTGCTGGAAAATCAGTGTTGTTTCTGTAAATGTAGAGGATGAGTAAAGAGTAACTTTTCTTACTCTCAAGAGATTTCAATATTTACTTATTTTTCTTTTACAGTTTTCTGAATACCCAAAATGGGGTGCTGTGCCTGTGAAGAAGACCGGGTAAGATGGTTTTTTTTTAATTTTCACTTTACTAAATTTCTAAACACCACAAGTTATTCAAACTAACATCCTTATCCTTTTTGTTATTTTAAGAAAACTATATAGATGATACAACTTACTTTTTTCCTAAGAATGGAATATTGCTGTCATATCTGTTCTGGTGCCATCCAATCCTCACTGTTCAGCCTTGACAGAGTTCAAAAGTGTTTATGTGGCCTTGTGAATGATGAATTATTCTCCACCGTGCACTCCTCAACTGACAGATAAAACATTACCAGACTTTCACTACTATATTCCTACTATTATGGCAGATGTTCGGACAAGTTACATTCCTTAGTGTCACCACCACCTTCACAGCTAGGACCCACCCAGTCATGTTTATGGTGACAAACCATCCCCATCCCCATCCCCATCCCCCTTGTGTTCCTTTGATAAAAACCAGGTTCCGCTCAGACAGCTTCTTCTCCAGAACCATTATTTTGTGGAACAAACACCCGAGAGAATGCTTCCCTGAAAACTATAATTTTGGTCTCTTTTAAGTCCAGGGTCAGTTGATGTCTATCCTACTGTTATAGACAAGCATATGGTTGCAAGAAAGAAATACGACAACAGCAGAAATATGTTTATGTGATTTATTTCGACAGGAACATGAGGATTTGGGACAGCTGCCTTGTGGTATAGTTCATAAGCCAGCTTCGGATCTAGGTCGATCTCTCATAGTAGTTCACACATGTTGACGCTGGTTGATGCTCCCCTGCTGACCGCTGCTGACCGCTCGGCCTGACCGTGACAGGTCTCTTCCCTGGCCACCTGTTGACTGCCTGTTGTACTTCCCTGTGACCCCTTTTATGGCGTTTTTTTATGGCTTAACAGGCTCAAAAAATGAAGTGAGTATAATTAGGAGGGAAGCATTTTTATTGGACGAAAAATAGAACACTTTAAATATTATTTTTTGACTGGAACTCGTGCATCGGGAACAAATGTAAATGAAGATAATGGTCATTTTGTGACGGGGCTTTGTCCCGTTCACATCCGGCTCTCACTCTTGAGTATGTTAGTTTATTTGCCTGTAAATCAGCCGAGATATGTCTTATTTTATTTTATAACACTACTCATCCTCATAATACTCTCTTACTTCCCCTTTTTCCTCCCTTACAGTCTCACTCAGTAACCCTCTACCTTGAGTGGCACTTGGGCTTTGTATTGGGTGAACTATCAATTAAAAAATATTAACGCTTATGGAATGATAAACTGAAAGTTGTGATAAAATTACAATCAAAATAATACCATTACTTAAGAGCACGATAGGATGAGGCATGTGCTTCATACACCAAAATTTCTTGTGGTGTTTCATTCCAAAAACAAGAAGCTTATTGTAATCTTGCATTCCACTTGTTCAATGCTCACACCTTGCTGCACATTTGTGCTTGAGACAGAAACCTTCATTAGTATGGCTTTTCAAATTAAACTGTATCTCATGCATCAATGCATATTTCTGCATATGTAATTTCATCTCTTTATATTAGAAGTGGGTCAGGACAAATTTTTAAGGGATCATCCATCTATTTCTAATAATATTGTTGTGTACAAAATACAAATGCCAGCATGATTAAATTATTTTATCATAGAAAACGAACATATTTAATATATTAAAAAGCAAAAGGAAAAGAAAGCACATAAGAAAACAAGTTTTTTTTAGAGTTAACTGGTTTTGTTTTTATATATTTTTCTTTTAATGTGCTTACTTTTCCTGTTGCTTTTTAATATCATATTTAAAATATGTCCATTTTCCATGTCATAATAAAATTCTGTACCACCAACAAAATCAAAATGATTTCCTTCAATTTTCCTTCCCCAGCCCAGGGTTTAATTAGGATGACATGATTATTATTTTTCAAAATATTTCCTCACACTATTACCGTAACAGGTATGTTTATTAAACATATAGAATTTCTCAATGGAATGTTTATTTGAACCCACATGCTTATTTTATAAGTTGAAAAATTCCCACCAGCATGACTATTCCAAATAGTACTTATATTTTGTACAAAAGAATATTCATGTAATAAAAAGTAACAGAAATAAGATTAACCCTTTTCCTGCTGCATTGTTATAGCATTGTTATTTGACTGTGCTCATTTTGGAGAAAAATAGGAAATTGTTGTTTACTGGAAATAAAATAACTATAAAGATGCTGATGGCTATTTTTCATGAGTGCTGTCATTTTGGTTTTGATTGGATACTCTGCTGTACTGACTAAGCTAAATGACACCCCCCCCAACACAATATAATAAAAATAAATCACAAAATGGGTTGTATTGTATGCTACTATATCTTGCCACTAGTTTGAAAATAGCACAAGGCCCCAATTTATCACAAGGCCGAGAGTTATCTGTCTTGAAAACATGTAGACTGCTGGCAATGTCCGTTTTGTAAAGATATATAAGAAATTTCAAAACAGTAGAAGTGTTAAGTAGAAAGTATTCAATAATTGATAATTACTGATAATGCTTAATGAAAGAACTTTGAATAATATTACTCATAATGATTGTAGAATCTGAGACTTGTGAAAAAAAAGAAAAATAACGATGCAACTAATACTAGTCAAAAATTATTTTGCTGTTAGAAAACCCCAAAACAATACATTAGTTATAACTAAATATAAAGTTTGTATATCAACAAATATAAGAATGTGATACAAAAAGTTTGACTTGAGTGCCTCCTGTTGATAAAACCTGAAACAAAAGGCTAATAATTTATTTGCATTCTTAAATGTCATATTTAAGTGAATGTCTTAAAAAATGACTGCAAAAAGGTAAGCCATTGAAATGTTAGAAGGATTTTGGTTTCATTTAAATTCTCTTCAGCAAGCAACTTCCAATGACATCTTTGACTCATAACTCATTGCAAAAGACATTTTAGTTTCAAAATCCAACAGAATTTTATTAAGGTTATTTTTATCATTTTACACCCATACATTTCCTGTTTTCTTTTTGCTTTATTTTATGGGTGTGTTTGTTTTGCCAAGTGTGGCAACTAATTAATCTGATTCTTGCATGTGTGTCTTTTATGGTACAGTGTAAGGAAAAAGCATTGCTTAACTTTGATAAGGAAACAGAAACTAATATTATAGATGTATTAATACAGGGAACTTCAAATATAAGAATTAATTTTTTCTGTCTTTGTGTATATATGTGGTCAAGTGGTTATAATGTTAGTGCCAGGTTCAAATCTCACCATGGCTGACTAATATAGTCCTGGTGAGACAATTCTACCATACATCACTGTTGGGAATTGTCTGAAAACCATACCATAAGTTGCCTCAAGCTATGTGAGTTAGATTCAGTAGAGGAAGCTGTTTGGAAGCTGTTGATGGTTGCACTAGCATGAAGTATTTTCCACCTTACAACCTCTTTTCCATTGATGAAACATCGCAAGCCTCTCACTGCTCTATCAATATTGCTATGGAAAATGTTCTGATGAATTACATTCCCAGTTCTAACCTTCACAGGTAAGACCTGAAATGCCATGCACATTGTAGCAAACCACTCTCATTCCATTTGTATTCCATTAGCGACATGTAAGTTCCACTTGAGCAACTTCTTATGGACAGCTGCTTTGTGGAACTAACTCCTAAATCTTATGACTACAATCTTAACTTGTTCAAGTTTAAGGCTAGCTGTTATCTTCCCAACATATCCCCATAAATTGTGCCTCTTAGTCTGTAAACCTCTGACTTGAATGGCTCTTGGGCCTTGTACAGGCTAAACATCATTGTAAAAAAAAAAAAAAATAGTCACATGTAATCATAACTGAGGACTTGAGCATATTGGGTTTGTTTAAACTGTTAATCACACAAGATTATGTATTCTCTCCCAGAAACTGTAACTAATGTCCACTTTGCAAAGTTGCAATATAAACCACAGGGTAAATCTATGAGTGTTGATGTAACACAAATGTGCCTGAGCAGGCATCTGCAACAGGATTAGCTAATTAACCCGCAGATAAGTGTACTTGGAAACAAGCATCTAACAACTATATGGTGATGTGGTAAATCTAAAAATTTAGAAACTACAAAGTCAATTTTTATGAGATTTTTATATGTAGATTTTTGTTTAGATTTTTTTAAATTTTTTTTATTAAGAATGCATTTTTGGTGACATTTGTTAATTTTAAGATTTTTCAAATTTTTTGCCCTGTATTGAATTAAATATGGTTAGGGGTAAAAAAAAAAACCTACCTCACCACATTATATTTGGCATTAATAGAAAAAGAACAGTTACAACACATTGATCTCAAGGGAACAATAATCAGAATCAAGTAAGTAACCCCAAACAGATTTCTCACTTACAAATTTCTGTTTGTTAATTCATAGTTAAGTAACAGATCGTTGTTTTGAATGTAAATGAAAGAGAATTAGTTTAAATAAATAGATAAAAAAAAAAACTTATTTAATTAGATTTAACTCTGACAATGTTTGACAACTTAGCTAATACATAATCCTCATATATATAAACAACAATAAGTATGCATCGAACCCTAAGGTCATTTTAACCCCATGACACTAAAATCCATTCTCCAACCATAGCAATATAATTCTAGCTTCATTTCAACTTTGTACTATTAACAACTTGCTACACTGTTTGTCTCTGGACTTTCTACTTTTTCTTCAAAAAGACTAATGATGGCTGAAAGTACTCTGAACATTATATATGATTTTGGCTACTTCCTTTACAAGTTTCCTGACTTGGGGTGGTAGCACCTGTTAGGGTCCCGCCTATGGACAAATAGTGAACCCCTAAAAAAAAAAACAAATGACATTCATAACACTATAAAAGCATAAAAATACATTTTAGTAATAATATGTTTTTAAATTAAAAAATTATCAACAATACAATAAAAGAATTTTAAAGAAAAATGACCAGCAATAAATTTTATCTACAGTTGAAGCCATAAAATTATGTTGAAAATATTTAGATTTTGGCATTAAATAACCCATA